AATGTAAAAAATTAAAATAAAATTTAGTAAAACTTAAAAATAAATTAATTAATTAATTAAGTAAACTATTGGTACTGTTAGTTACAATTGTTTTTAGATGGACCACCTATTTGCATCCATCTTTAAGATGGATGCTTTATACCTCTGGACTGTATATTGAACAAATGCGGTCCAGCCCGCTGAAACAATTGTTCATATATATATATATATATACACGCATCAAAGGTGATTCATGTATAAAGATGTGCTTGACTATTGGATGGTGTTTTCAATCCAATAACAAAGACAAAATTAACCACAAGAAACCAGTAATCTAAAAATTAAAAATAAAGGACACTGAGAACACAACTCTCAGAGACCAAACGATAGGTTACCTAATGAAAAGACAACAATTTGCAACAAAGAGATTATCAATACAATGCAGCATCAGGCATATCCAAAATCAAAATAAAACAATAACCATTGATTTCAAAGTCACCATGCAGTTGAATTTACTAAAAACAGCAATTAAATTGACCCCTGTATTCATTAGGGCCATTTCTGTACTTTAACATCTTTTATATATTAAGATGAAAGATCGTGTAATCTAGAGCTACACAAAACTTTCCAAGTCTTTCCTTGATAGTAAGGCACCTCTTCTTGAATCCTCCTTGCGAGCTTAATTCTTCACCTATGTGATGCATTCCACGGCACATCCTAGAGATCAAATGTTTACTTTAATGATCTAATATAGTATCGGAGTAGATTTATTGAGTTTCAATTTTGTCTGTTGGTGATCAAACTAGTGTTTCTGGGCAGTCCAGCACTTACTTTCCTGGCTTTCTTCTTCTTTTAGTGCAGGTTTTCTTTGATTATTGTGCTATTAAACTCCAGTTGTGCTTAATAATGGCAGCTGGGAATAAAATATCATTTGTTGTGCCCTGCATACTCAAGGGGAGAAACAATTTCCTCTAGTCATCCATCATGGTTAACCTTTTTAGAGGGTAGAGATTTGTTTGAGATAGTTGATGGGTCTACATCTAGGCCTGTTGATGTGAAAGGTACCTCAAAATGAAGAACTGAATGGCAATATCAAACCTGAAGTCTCCTCTCAGTTAAGTACAACACTACCCCTAATGAACCATAATGAAAAAAATACACCGGAAGCACAATACTAAATTACATTTTTCATTTCCCAAATTACCCTATTGTTTACATTCCGCGTATCTTTTAAGAAAGATCGCCACATGCTTTTTAAGAGTGGTGCATCTACCCAGAATAAGCGGATAGCAAAGAGGGGCAACCATCACTAACAATTCCATAGTTACTTCATACTGATGAAACCAGATAGAAAAGATAATCCAATACTTAAAAGACAAGAAACTAAGCAATTCAATAAATTAAATTCTCTACAACGAAATAAAGGTAATATAACGGATAAATGCCCCACCTTTGGCAAGAAAAGAAAGTTGATTCAATAGGTGGTATCCCAAGGGCCTTTTCATGAGCAGCCAATCTATGTCCTAAGAGAGCGCCCAGAGAAGGTACAGAAGCTTTTCCAGAAAACCATGTAGCCAATCTGTGCAAATGTTGAATTCTCTTCAGAGAATTTAGGTTATGAGTCCCACTAATGTTTGAAGCCTTTTTTCCCTTAATTTCTTCTCTAATTGTTCTTGCATGTGATCCATTCTTACCCATCTCACCAAAATCACAGAGATAGCATTTGAGAGAAAACCAAGAAACCAGTACTCCTACAGAACAATGGAAACATCGAGAGACAATACATTAAAGAGAGCATAAAAATATTAAATACGCAGAAAGGAAGAAAAATGTTATGCCCGTCACTCCAAGGTAATTAATACACAGAGAAACAGGGTAAAGATAAAGAGAATCCACATTTGTAGATTTTTCTTAATATCTTGGATCTCCAAGCATGCATAAAGGGTGAGTGTATAAGGATCTAGAGAAAAGTACACACTCAATCAAAAAGTTCATCAACACTAGCATGGAACTAGTTCCAGTTCTATGAGATAGACGCATTATACAGGTAAACAAGTACTGACTTGGTATGTGAAGAGTTAGGAGATTTATGGTCCCATAGTTTCCCTAAATGAGTAATTCATTTAGCGTAAATAGTCAAGATTGAATTATTTAGAGCCTCGAGTATAGAGCTCTAGAGCAGTTCCTCGAGTTTAACTACGCGCATGTGCAACCTCTAGAACGGTTCCTCCTTAGTTGGATCCTCCTATAGAGCTATTTACAGTTAGGGAGAGAACCACCTACAGTTATACTACTCTTTGCCAAGATGGTGTGGATATTCTTCCTAGGCTTATTGCTTTTCCACTGGGTGATGTCAAGCTTGGTTTTAAACTTCAGTACAAGTGGGGTTTGGAATCCTTCTAGCCAAAAGATATCTCGCTCTAGAGGTTGCACATGAGCATAGTTAAACTTTGGGCGGATTTCAAAAACTGTAGCTAAATTTAAGTAAACAGCAAGTACACTGAGACATTGAATTACAGGCAACAAGAGAAGAGAGAGAGAGAGAGAGAGAGAGAGAGAAGGTGTGCAAAGTGGACAAGGCAGCCTCTTTAGTTTATCACCACAACGACGTGTGTGTGTGTGTGTGTGTGTGTGTGTGTGTGTGTGTGAGAGAGAGAGAGAGAGAGAGAG